AGTTACTTCCATTTCTGTTTGAAATGACTTTCTCCCATTACCTAAAATTAGAAGTTTGCTTTTTATTTTTGGGCCAATTAAATTTTAATTTTGTTAAGGTTATGATTTGAAAATTAAGTTTTAAAAAATTGAGAAGATTAGAAAAATTAAAAAATTAAAATAATTTAACATTGGCTATTTTTCATTTAATGATGCAAAAACTGTACAAAAGATTTTAGATCAACAAATTCTACAACTCTTCATAATGCATTTGTATTTTCGTTTGAATTTCAGTCCGAAATATTTGAATTAAAAAACGAAATGAAAATATGAAAATTAAATGGGAATTCAAAGAAAAACGCAGTAGAAATGATAGTGGGATAATATGAAATACAATTGAAAAAGAAAATAAACTTTTTCAATTATAAAGAAAGAAAGAAATTTTTCTACTCGAAAAAATAAAAAAATCTTACTTACAATGAAATAATTTTTCAAAAAAAAAGAAATTCAATAAACGATTAATTTGATAAAAAAAAAAAGAAAAGTCATACATATTCATTTTGTTTTCGTTGGATTAATTCTGTTGTCGCATTCACACTATCCACCATTGTGCTCAAAGTGTTACGTATGGTACCACTATCTAAATACAATTTTATTTATTTCAAAATTAATGAAAGAAAAAAGCAAAAAGTAAAGTTTTATAAAGTTTGCAAAAAAAAGATATCAAAATTACATTATTTAATGTGGATTTAGCCTTACTTAACCTCTTTTTTTTGTTTGCAAATTCATTAAATATTTTTTGGAAGTGAAATTAGTCCAAAATAAAAAATTTGCAAAATTTGAAACTTCTTCCCTGCAAGTTTTTTTGCGAAATTTTAAGTTTTTGGACATTTTTTCCCAACTTTTTAAGAAACTTTCCATTTTTTATAAATTTTAGGTTATTGCAAAATTAACTCCAAATGATTGAGGAACATTTTTTTCGTCATTGTAACTAGAATGACTGTTTTTCGTCTTTGATTTTTCTTTTGTCAGAGAAGACAAATAATTAAATTATTCATTCCCCGAAAATTTTTAAAATTTAAGTTTAAATTCTTTATCAACAAATATACTTTTATTATAATGAAAATAAAAACAAACGATCGAGTGGCACATATCGACTGGATGCTCGTGATTCGGATCGATCAGATCGCTCTGATCGCCATTGTGATTCATTTGATAATTGAACAGGTGAAATGGATGTCATATAACTACCATAAAAATAATTTAAATGTCAACCATTTCTAATTTTAAAAATGAAGAATAAGAAAAAAAAACAACACATTGATATGAAATATATGAGGATGTAATGAAAAAAAAAAAACTTCTAATGAAAAGAAAAAGAAGGAACAAAATATATACATTATACTATAAAAACATTGAGAATTTTAAACTTTTACGGTCATTTTATACTTGTCACAATCATATGTGAAATGGTCATACGGTAATAGCTAAACGTAAAATAGACGTTTACGTGAAATTTACCACATTATGTTTGCAAAAATTGACGTATGAGAAAAAATTTGAACACATAAAATATCGTACAGCCGTATTCGTCTAGTGAAAATAAAATTATCATCCATTATTTTTTTTTTGGAAAAGTGTTAAAACGAAATTTCAGCATTATCAACAGCTAAAAACGAAGAACAGGATAAATGTTGAAGAGAAGAAACTGGAGAATTTTAATCATTCATAAATAAAAAAATTGTAATTTCATATGTTCACTCGGATCGATCAGTAATAAGTTATTTTGCCTAAATAAAACGGAAAAAAAATTCCCCCGACGAAATTAATTAATCATCAATTTATTGAGAATCAAAATATCAATTAATATATGATAAAGTTATAGTCCCATCGCAATTATATTCAATGATTTTTGCCATGAATCGAAAAAGAAAATATCTTCTTAATTCATTGAAAAAAAAAAAATGAAAATTATTATATATGTCAAAAGACAAAAAAATATTTTCCTATCATTAATTTTTCCAAAGAAATTCATGAATATTTGTCTAACAATATTTATTTAATTTGTTTATCGGTTTAATTACTTATTTATTTAATTGTGGCATCGTTTGCATAATTATCATATCAATATTTTATCAATTTTTCCCTCTCATAAGCATAAACAAATTTTTCAAATTTGCTCCAAATTTTCTTGAAATTTTCAAAATTTGTTTTTCAAATATATTCAAAATGTTAAAAAGCATCGGAAAAAATTGAAATTGAATCGATTGCTTTACGAAAGATTACCTGAAAAGGTTAACGTTCGATTATTAAATCATTGGCAAGGGAAGAGAATAAAATCGAGAGAATGAAATTAGCGGAAAATTAAAAGGGTTTGATATGATAAGCGTAACAAGACTAGTTTAAATCAAATTAAATTATACAAAATTAAAAGACACTGAGACACCGATAGGTGACAAGAAGCGATACTTGATAATTCCACATGGATTTTTGATCGTTTTATTTGTTTGAATTAATGGAATCAATCTTTAGAAAATGTATAACATTTCATTTTGTTTATTTTTCTTGCAAATGGATGGGAAAATGATGGAAAGTTGAAAAAATATCATAGCAATAATTAAAAGTACATATATTATTAATTATTTAATTATTAGAATAAATGACGACGAAATCAAATATTTCTCTCGTATAGCATCCAAATAACGCTTTTAAACAGTTCAACTTATTCTAATCTATTCCAAATTTGTTATTAAATAGTATTGTTATATTCAATTTCTCATTATACTTTTTCATTAAATTTAGAAAATATAACTTCAACAAATATTTGTTGTACAAAAGTATAAAAGGAATTTATAATATAAATAGTAATACATTCAACAGACACGTAATACGAAAATTACTTATAAATTTAAATCGTTCCTTTCTACTTAATTAATCGATTAATTAAATACTAATAAATCGCTTACTTATTTCATTTTGAACTATTCAGTTTTAAGTTTCGAAAAATAGGTATTATCTTTTCAACATTTAGTATAATTATGCATAATCTTATCTTTTATCGTTGCACTATTAAAGCATTGCATTCTGATATAATGTTAATGATATGCTTTAATCAAAAAATCTCAAATCAAGCTTTACAAGAATGTATAATGATAGATTATTGATTGAATTGCTTTACTTATAGTTTGTGAATGATAATAGATAGTGCTAGAATCCCAGAATTCCCAACATTGTTCTAAAAATTTGCAATTCCGATCAAAAGTTTTAACTCAACCAATCTTCTGCCGAAAAATAAAAAAAAAAATTGATAAAGAGAAGAAAATGATTGGTAAATATTAGCAAACATTGGTTCATCAGTCTTATCAAATTGAAAAAACGGAAATGTTAAGTATTTGACAAGGAATTAATTTACTAATTTTAAAATATAATTTGATATGTTTAATATTTTTCTAAAAATTCGACCTTATTTTTACTAATTTATGATGGAAGGAAAAATCAGAGAAAAATTAGAAATTAGATTTTTATAGCTCAAACATAAGAAATAGAGCACATGTGTTATCATTGACTGATGATGTATTAGTTCGTTTTCTGCAAAAAAAAAAAAAAAAAACATCTTTCTTTTCAAACCAAGTGAAAAAGTTTTCATTTTTCATTTTAAACATATTCTTTAACAATCAATTTAACATAATCACAATAAATAAAAAGGGAAAAAAATGTTCCTAAACTTTTGGAATCAAATAATAGAACTCAAAATTAACACATTAAACAACTTATCACTGATTCTATTGATAAGTCGACCTTAAATTGAACAAAAAAAGTTTAGAAATTCACTAATCAAAAAAGCTAAAAATATTGATTGACAATGAAAAATTGTTATAAACGAAAAAAAATTTTTTAAATAAATGAAATCAAAAAAAATGTTAAAAACGGATGAAAAATTGTTAAATTAATTTATTAAAATGAATAAAATCAGCGAAAAAAGTAACGGCAGGAGAAATCATTTAAACTAAACTTTTCAGAATGAATAAACAAGATTTAAAGGAGGATATTTATTGATATATTTTGATATCATTGATAATATTAAGAATTTTAGGGGAAGTGATAAAACCTTCGTGGTGATGGGAAGAGAAAGAGAGAGGGGAAAGTGAAAAAGAAAAAAAGAGTGAAATTAAGAGATTTTTAATTTGTAATAACAACAAATCAAGGATAAAAATAGTCAGAATTTGTGAAAATTATTTACATATACAGTGAGAAATGGCTAAAGAGATAGAGAGAGAGAGGGAGAGAGAGAGGGTGAAAGAGATAAATGGAGCAATGTATTCTAATAATATTAAAAAATTTTAAAAAAATTTGAAAATAATTAAAATTTTATCGGAAAAATTACATTTATTAGATGCTAGGTATCGCTAGTAATTGGGTAAAGAAAAAAACAAATTTTAATGCAACAAAAAAATGAATAAATGATTAGATGAAAGACTGTATACATTTCACAAGCTTCCAGCTTACTTCAACACAACTTCACTTTTCAACTCATCTACCCCATCCTTTCCCAAACATCGCCTACTCAGTTTCTCTTCTTACTTTACAACCATTCTCTTAACTTACTTTACACCAAATAACAACAGCTTCCTTTTCATCTGTTCTAACTAACTAATTTCTATTTAGTTAATTAATATCAGTTAGTTAGTTGAGATGTTAGAAAATAGCATCATTCTTTAATATTTATCAATTTTGTTGATAAAAGAAGCAAATGTATTACAAACAAAAAAAAATGTATCAAATCACAAACAAGAATGCAACATTTTTTTTCTTAAAATTATTATTCAAATTTATAAATTATAGGTACATTATCGATTTTCTCAATTATTTTACAATAACAATTTTTATAATGCAGCAAAAAAAAAAAGAAATAAAATAAAATTATAGTATTGAAAAATGATAAATAAATTAAACAGTTGTATGGCTCATTTGAATGAATTTTTTGTTCCATTTCTTATCAGAATATTTTATAAGATAAATTACTTCATTGCTGTAAGCTCATTTGAATTCCCTACACAAATTTGCTTTAGGATAGCATATTTTAAGGCTAATAAATTAAAAATATCATCATATGGATTTTTGCATTTCACTGATTGAAGCATACCATTTGTTTGCACTACAAAGGGATGTTTTTGTTTCAATTACTAATTATCATGTTCTACTTAACAATTGTAAGTTTCAAAATAAATTTTGAAAATAATTACATGAAAAGAAGATTTTGTAAAGAAATGAATCTAAATGAAACTCTATTGCTCTCAGCATTTTATTGTATACCAAAAAGG